ACACACACACACACACACACACACACACACTCGAGCAGAAGTAGCAAGACTAATATGAAAGATAATTAGCCAAATAATTCTATATTTATCTATTCGTATACATTCTTCTTTCTTTTTATGAATACACATAAGACATAAGAGATAGTCTTCTTGAAGAAAAGTTGGGGTGAGAATTATTATCAGAGTTCTACTTCTGAGGATGCCTATCCTATTTTGGACGATACTCAGCCAGTTTCCAACCGAAACAATGGAGGATACCTCGTGGACTGCATGAACCTGAGCGTTGTATTAAAGCCAAACGGCTGCAGTTAACTGGAATCAACAGTCGTCTTCTGATGAGATTGACCTACGAATCTCTTCTTCATACAATACCTTACGAAAAGAAAGCCTATAACAACATCTTTTGTCTGTCCCCATCAGAGTAGGGCATCATTCTTGCAACCACTTCAGGCTAACGAGTCAGGAAAACATATCGGCTTAGCTCTGCATGCCGTTTATACCCTCCAAATGCATGAATTCGAATGCGGTAGAGAAGGATTCGGTTAGCTCATGTCATATTCTAAGTTAGGAGCATGTATGTATGTGTATATGCATTCACTCTCGTGAACACACAAAGATACGAAACCAACAGTGATAGCTTTAAGCAATTAGAGCCCAAATTTTACTCGGCTCCGGTGAAAGCCTGATAAACTTTCGCCTATAATTTGGTGGACATCATCAAAGACGGGTGCCACTCTATCAAGTAATTCAATAATATGAGATGCATTTACCCAATTTCGTTTAAGGTGATGAAGGACTGGTAAAAGAAGAATTTTCCCACAATGATATGAGTTTAGCTGACGTTTCTATTGAATTTCACATAGCCTTTCTTTCCCAAAAGTTGTTCTCATCCTGGCTGGAGTGGACTGCAGTCTCGACCTCACATCGGTCTTATCAACACACTCAGCAGGGGTCGAGCCGCTTAAACGAACTTGTGTGAATACATCTCATATTACTGATTTACTTGTAGTCACGAGAACAATACTTAATTCGAAAAATGAAGTAATTCAGGCTAGAGAGCCGAGAAAAACCCTACTCCAAACCCATTCTTCTATGGACAAATGAATTTTGGCATTCCTGCCCTCGGGATCGAATAAAGTCTGCGTCAACTACAAAGAATACAATCAAGAAACACCGACACGGAGAAGGTGAAAGTTTCTCCCACCACCTGAAAGCCAAAGTCCCATCGGATTGCTTGCATTGACTGTAGCATAAGGAAAACCTGTGAAACGGATGCATCTCACACAAGACGTATTTAATAACCGATCACTCCGATACCAAATACACCAAAGTTATGACAAATTATGCAAAATTGTTTTTTCTGGGAACGGATCATACCTACATGAGCTTTGACAAATGTGGGCCAAACTACTCTCAAATACTGATACCAATTAATGTTAACAAACAAAGCCAGACCCTCGAGGTAATGTGCTTTATCTTGTCACTTCGATGCCTACTGGAATGTTTCACTGAATACTATTGAGAAAGCAGTAATTGTCAACATAGTACGAGACTGAGAGATCCGCTAGCCTTACACGCAATATTTATGCAATACCTTTGTCCATTTGTCGCACCAGCAAACATTTTCTGTTGGGGGACTTTCATTTTGTATGAAAGCGAATGAAGAAGAGCTTCATTGGTCGATCTCATCAGACGAGGACGGATGAATCTCGTTGTACTGCAGCCGTTCGGCCGTTTTGTTGACGCAGTCCACAAGACACCCTCCCTCGTTTTGGGTGAAAACCTGCTGAGCTTGCGTCCAACATTCGATGGACATCATCAGAACTGGGCATCATTCTTGCAAGAGTCTCACATTAACACTAAAGCAACAACACTATCCGGCTCTATCTTACTTCTTATATAGACTCAATTGATCCAAAAAATTAAAAATTAAAAACCTAGATCGATCGATATAGAGTGGTTTGGTTAATTTTCTTGAATACTAGTCCTGCTATCTTTGCTCGATGGTATGAGTATGTATATTTGTGCGTGTTGGCGTCAACGTGCAATACGGTTCCTAAATCAGAGTTGTCAAAGGTTTACTTTCAGGTTCTGATCCTCAAGGTCTAATGACCCAAGAGAAAGCCTTGACCGAGACTGCGTAAGTTCGTAAACAAGTATGGTTGAAGTAATGAGATATGAGCTTGTAAACGTCAACATGAATATCGTCTAAAAGCAGTATAACGAGATTAATCCGTCCTCATTCGGTGGGATCGACCAACGAATCTGTTCTTCATGCATTTTCGTACAAAGTGAAAGTGACCCTAAAAATGTTATCTCAAGGGATTCATCGAAACCCAGTTTCTCTTCGTATCTAAAACATTTTTTGGTCAGAGAGCAAACATAGTTCGGATGTAGGTTAGCCTAAGCTTGGACTTTGTCCGTAAAGCCACACTTACGCACACCACCGGGATTAGTCCCACAACGGCAATACTGTACGAGAAAAGAAGACGTCCTAAGTGTCATGATTAAATAATAGTTTGGGATAGGCAGAAAGTTTCCCTAATAATTAGAATAATTTTTTTCTTATTTCTATATGACGGAAAATAGGTTTACGAGAAACTTCCGGTATTAGTTGAACTAATTTGATTTAATGTGAGATGTATTCAGCCTATTTTTTTTAAGGTAATGAAGAACTGTTAGTAGACTTTTCCCACAATGATATGAGTAGAGCTGACGTTTCCAGTGAAATTCACATTTGCTCTTTGACCCAAAGGCAATCGTGGCAATGTAGCCGAGTGATCAACGTGTCAAGCTCACATTTTGCACTTTCACGGTTCGACTCCTGATGGTGGTGTTGATGAGGTCAGTGCAAGGTCGAAACAGCAGTCCACTGGTGCTTGGATGAGAACAACCTTTGGGAAAGCAAAGCTCTTTGAAATCGAATGGAAACGTCACCCTATTTCGAAAAATAATTGGATTTAATTAGTAGTCAAAATAGTCTCTGTCATGATTTAATAAACTTTGTGGGTAAAGCAGCACATTTCCCTAACCCAAAGGACAAAGTCTTTGTCATTTCTGCTGGCTGACAATTTGCAGTTGTGAAGTCACTTTGATTTCAAACGATTGCATGACATGAAGAGGTTAGAGGGTAACTTCCACCAGAAAATGAGGATCAACTCCTCTTCAGGATCACCTGAAATGGAAGTGAGCTCACCATTGACCGCCTCGTTATCAGATCCCTGATGGACCCATCAAGACATGTCTGCACGATTTTAGCTGCCGTTGCGGTGAAAGTCACATTAAAGAGTCCATCTTTCGGTCACAGTCAACAAGTTGAATCGCCTGGTGCCTCGTCGACGACTTATTGGCCAAACGATCTACAGTGCATTCGAGGGAGGAGCCTATTTTTCCAACTGCAACCAAATGTATGCAACCGGAGAATATTTGGCTGCACTTACTTGCTTGGCTCTGGTGACTCGTGCAGAAGACAAGCAGGCAGAAGATGAGAACTTCACGTTTCTGCGGTCCCCAGGCTGGCAGAGGTCGAAGGTAGATTGGCATTTTCAACGAACATGCCAAAAGGTTATTCGCCTGTACAGATTGGGGCCTGGAAGCCGCCCACTCGGAGCGATGACAAACGAGGATATTCTACAAGAGGACAATTTGGCTTTACGGACCTAATTGGCCGGACAAGATGAGGTTTATGGTAAAAGAAAACAAGCCTCGAATGGCTCTCCACCAGCAGAAGCCACAAGAAGATCAGACAGAAACGCCGAAGAGGAGAGTCTGCCTATTTATGCGAGGGTTTATTCAGAATTGCTGAATCACCGAAGTGCTGACCGAGACAAGCTCACAGACACAGACAGAGGGCCAGAACCAATGAGATGGCACAACCAAGACAGGTACACCGAGCTGCTTCAGAGCATAGCAAATTATTGAATAATCTGGCTCAGCAACGCATTCTATCGACAAAGGAGGCATTGGTGTGATCTTGGCAACTGGCAGTGCCTCTGTGGCATGCTATTCTCGTTTTCCCGCCTAAACGTCTCGAGAGCAAGACCCTCTCATTTACGGTCTCCCACCCTCAAGTAAAGGGCGTACACCGCCACCGGCCCACCCAACACTTGTTCCAGCCCTGTGAACGAGAACGGCGGACCACACCTCCGCAACCCAAATTCGGTTGAACAGGCATCGCTTCCGAAGCAGTGGGGCACATGTGGTAAACGCCATTCCTCCAGGCCCCCGTCCGCCCAGTCGACGACCTGAGCCTCCTTCACCTGTTGCCAGGTCTCGATCTGTCTGTGCCATATAAACGGGCTGAGACGCCAGGCCTGTCCCTGTTGGGGGTTGGCCAACAGCCTTAGACGAGCTAGCAACATTACACCTCAGTCTGGAGGCAGCTACTCGAGTCGGGGTGCAACAACGCTAGTCTAGCCTACTGGGAGTTTTGGTGAAAAGTACAGTAGCGACGTCGATTTCGTGTGAAAGTGCATACGATTCCAAGCTCAACGCGAGACGACGGCAGAGTCAGATATTCCAGCCGCAATTCGATTTTAATGAGACCATCCGGTTGACATTGTCAACAAGATTTTCTTCCTGATTTCGGGTATAAAAATGCTTTGTTAACAGTGGTTTGACCTCGTTGTCGCAACTTGGTCTTGTTGTCAGGGCGAAGTCGTCTGCCATAGCATTGCCAGCATCAGACAGTGGACTTGGTACATTCTCAAACGTTTCGCCGGCATCGTAGTCGGCATCATCAATGAGTGCTGTCGTTCTCCGCACCAAGCTACGAACTCGTCAAGGAGACAAGTGAAGTCAATCCTTCGACAAACTTTCTGCCGAAAAGGGATACGCCAGTGATTCCTAAACTGTGTGCCGTGGCGCCCCGCGGAGCCGCGAAATATTGTAAAAGCTTCAATTTGAGAAAGTATGCAGTGATTTGCAGGCTTATCCATCACATTAATTATTAAATATTAATTTAACGTTAATAAAGTGAAAAAAAA